TCATGCATTGTCATTACATCCAATCAAAACCCCTAAGGTTGAAGCATCTGAAGTAGAATCTGAATTCCAAGACTTAATGCAAATAGAGATTTGAAAAATGTTTGTTGTACTAGTAGTACAAAAGGGGGGTGTTGTGGAAGCAGAGAAAGAACTGACAGGAAGGGGATGCAATGCATGACAGTTCATTAGCAAGAGTTAGGCTAACTGTAACCCTAATAACGCGAGATTTGTAGAAGCGAGGAATGTGTGAGGCGAGTGGGAAAGAACTGTGGGAGAAGTTGTAGATAATATGGAATGTAGACTAAGAGTCTACATTAGTGAGCAAAACAAGATATCAGAATGACCTGTGTATAAACAAAATGCAGCTGTTGCTCATTATTGTCTGTAACAAAAGGTATAAATGCTTGCTGTAATTGTTTACCTGTTGAGAGACCTGTTTAGCTCTCTCCCTCTATGCAATTGATAGAGAGATAATAAAGTATCTGATTTGCTGTACCCAAACAAAAAGTGAGAACTCTGTTATTCTCCGACAACATAGACCACAGAACTTCCCCAAAATAAATCCTAGAGCAGATATACATTAGTAGGGATGTGACAAAGATACTTGTTTTAATCAAAGGATGGATAGTAATATGGCATCATAAATGGCAGCATCCAGGAGTGGTGAAAGGGCAGAGTAACAAAACCCCTCCAGTCCAATACACCATGACAACACTCAGGAGGTTCTGGGGTGGGAGAGGAGATCAGAGAGAAGAAAATAGGAATTCTCCTTCATTAAAGCAGCCACTGAATTAAAATTAAAAGTTACACTATATTAAGATTACAAACTTGCAAGCAAATTAAGTTACTGCTTTTTAGATAATTCCTTTAATAGTCTCTAAGTCAGTTAAGTCATCACAGGATGAGAGATAAAAGTTCTGTCATGGATTAGAAACCATCTGAGACAAAACAGAGTAGGAATAAAAGATCAGTTTTCAGCATGGTAAGACGTTAACAGCTGGATGCCCCAGGAACCCATGCTAGGACAGGGAGGTTAATATTTTTGAATGATCTGAAAGTGGACAGGCAGAGAACAACATTTGCATACAACAAAAAATTCTCTTTAGTCACGACTGAAGACGACCAAGGAATGCCAGAGACGCATAACAAAACTAGGAGAATAGGCATAATGTAAACCTTTTTTTCCCCCCTGCACTTATGCATTGCTGAGTTTAGACTCACTGTAAATACCCAAAAAGCCTAGGTTTCACCCCTACAGAAAATTTCATCCCAATTTGCAGTAGTCAAAAAAGAAAAAACAGTGTTGGTACATATAAGGAATGAGAAAAAACTGAAATGACTTTCCATAGCTCAAGGGCACTCATTCATCTGCAATATTGTGTTCATATCTGGTCATCATATCTCAGAAGAGATAGAGGGGAACTAGAAGAGGTTCAGAAATGGGCAATGAAAGTTATTAGCGGTATGGAGAGACTGCCATAAGAGAGATTAAACTAACAGTAGTTAATGAACACATTTGCTACACAAGTAAAATGGCATTGCAGATGAATTAGGAGTTGCAGACATATAGTCTGGTTAGTCTCAGGCCTGGTCCCCACTAACCCCCCACTTCGGACTAAGGTACGCAAATTCAGCTATGTTAATAACGTAGTTGAATTTGAAGTACCTTAGTCCGAACTTACTGCGGGTCCAGACGCGGCAGGGAGGCTTCCCCCGTCGATGCCGCGTACTCCTCTCGCCGAGCTGGAGTACCGGCGTCGACGGTGAGCACTTCCGGGATCGATTTATCGTGTCTAAACCAGACGCGATAAATCGATCCCAGAACATCGATTGCCTGCCGCCGGACCCTCCGGTAAGTGTAGACGTACCCTCAGAAATATTATTCAGCAGATATAATCTGGGTATTCTTAGAAATGTTATTCAGCTACAAACTGCAACTGTACTAGAATTTTCACTGAAAACTGGCTGCCCAACACATCCCAGCCTTAACTGAGATACTAAAACTGACAATAAATTAAGCACAATGTACTTAAGGATACTTCTAGGAAGGCAGAAGTCCAGTAGTTACCAAAGGGTAGTGGGAGTCATGTCACTTGACCTCTCCGTACCTCAACTCCCCATATACGTCATGTCCCTACCTCAGAAGGGTATGGAGGCTTAACTCAGTGTTCGTAAAGAGCTTTGAATCTCTTAACAAAAAGAGCTATACCATTATCTTATTTCTTTACTTACAGGCTGATTTGTCGCTGGGTACAAATCTGAATTCTGCAATTGGTTCATCATCATCACTGTCTTCCTCCTCTTCCCCTTCAGCCATGGGAGTTTCTTTTGGCTCTGCCTCTAAGGAATTCAAGTGTTTAAAAGAAATCTAAATGTTTGCATTTCCCCAAATTCTGGCCCACTTGTTCTTTTAATGCACATACATATTACAAATATAACGGAGTCAGGGACCTAGTTCCGAAATGCAGCGAAAGTACCAGTGTCCCGTAGTAGAACTAAAGTCACATAACGAACACAGGCAAAACATGGCTAAGGCCTTTGTCTGCGCTGCCTCTTAGGAATTTATAGGATGTTAACCACCATAATACCCTGGAATAGAGCTGTAATTGAGCCCCTTTGCCTTAGTTTTATCTGTAGTATAGGCAGGCCCAAATAAATGACTTCGTCCATGTCTATGCTGGGATCATAACTGTCTGAGCTATAACCATACTTGCATATTTTTTGCAAGCAAGGTTCTAGCATAGTGTCCCCACTGAGCACAATGGGGCAAGGGTTTCTCTTCTAAATGCAGCCTATAGCATGGCTTTAAAACGATAATAGAAAAAGGCACTCATCTACATGGGGATGCTTGTTTTTACCAGTCTAGCAGCTTCCCTGACCAATGTGTATTGGGATTTTTTCCCCCCCTGTACTGTAGCATCAAGGGTTATAAGAGAAACCACAGTCCACTCTGGTCAAGGAAACTGACCTAGACTCTTCCTAAAAAGAACTGTGTTCAAAACATTTCTGTTTTCAATTATAAGAATGACAGTGTAAGTAATTACTTGATATGCCATGTTTATTTTATAGTGCTGTGATATAGTCCCCATGAAATCAGTCAGCTTTTTGGATTGGCCCAGTAACGATAGAGTTAACCCATGTTCAGTTTCTGATCTCTCTGCTCCTTTTGCTAGGCAGGCACAGGTGGTGGAAATGGTGGGTAGGAAGCATGCTCAGCCTCCAAGGAGCAGGTATGGGTGGGTGCCTCATGACTTCTAGGAGTGAAGTCTCTGGATAACTAAGCAGCAGTGCTGAAAAACTCTACAGAGATTCATGTTATAGCAGCGGTTCTCAAACTGTGGGTCGGGACCCAAAGTGGGTCACAACCCTGTTTTAATGAGGTCGCAGGGCTGGTGTTAGACTTGCTGGGGCCGTGGGACGAAGCCCAAGCCCCACTTCCCAGGACCGAAGCCCGAGGGCTTCAGTTGTGGACGGCGGAGCTCAGGGTACAGGCCCCCCGCCGGGGGTGAAGCCTTTGGGTTTCGGTTTGGCCCCCCCGCCTGGGGGCAGTAGGGCTTTGGCTTTGCCTCGCCCCCCTCACGGGGCAGCGGGGCTCAGGTTTCGGTCCCCCTCCTGCTGTTGTGTAATAATTTCTGTTTCTGAAGGGGGTCTCAGTGCAATAAGTTTGAAAACCCACGTGTTTGAGGCCTGCTGCATTTTTACATCTACTGAAATAAATAAAATAAGGAAGATGGCTGTGACATGGAGCCTTGTATCTGGAAGGTTTAGCAAAGGGGTACAAACTAAGTCCACGTCCCAGGAACTACAGATTTTCTAAAGGAACACGGAACAAGTCCGGCAAGGCATCCATTTCCACAAAGAGCATCTTGTACCACCAGAGCCCAGAAACTCTGCAATGTAGTAACGTCAAAACTCAAAACAAGTCAGCAGAGCGTCCACTGGCTGCCTCCAAAAATAAAGCATTCAAGGAGACTTCCCAACACTTTGCAGGCTGACATCAGCAGGCACATCTTGCAATTGTGGTGCCCAGCTGCCTGTTCTCAGTTATGTCAATCTCAAGCTCACCCCTTCATAAAACAACACACAGATGCTCACAGGGACACACAACTCACTTGAAGTGTGACAAAAGCTTCCAGAGAAAATACTATGGATCCTACCCAGCCATGCTACATAAAACATGGAAATTCCTGCAATAATTGAAGCAGTTTGGTTTTACTTTAATGCCCTGAATTCCATGCAGCAGAAAGCAGCAATACTGTGTTGCAAACCAGGAATGGACTTGAAAACTAATTGTTCAGGTTTCCACAGGCTACAGAAGATTTACTGTAGCCTAAGTTTGCATAGAAAATTAGTCAGATTGATGTTACAACACAGGGGAATCTCTCCAGGTAGAAGCGGCTCTACGTTCCTATGTGGTAATGCCAAAACTAAGAGCTTACCTTTATTTATTCATTTTTTTTTTAATTCAAGAAGTTTATATACCATTTTTTCTCTAACCTAGATTCGCGCAACATTAGAAAAAGATACATTACAGAACTGGAATAAAAAAATATACATTGTCCATTTCTCCCTCACACACTATTTGAAGAAGGTTCAATGGAATGACTGTCTTTTTGTATTAACAAGCAATACGGTCCTTAAAATATACCTTAAACAGACATTTTAAAAGCTGGGACACTTAATTTAGCTACCAAACCATTCCTTTCCCTCCTAATTTGCTACGTGGACCTACTATTATGTTAGTGGGGTTCTTTCTTAAGGAGGCACTTAAAAAAAAACACTTTAAAAGGAAATTTGCAAAAAATATTAACTGTGCACACACTGTTGCTTCTTTAAGATGCATAAAAGTAGCACAGAAGACTCCACCCAAAAACATTTTTTATAAGTGGAAATCCATATCTTGTCTAACCAGGAAGACTGTTAAATAGAGTATTTATTATTACAAGTAAAGTCATGACATCGGAGTCTTTAACAGGCCGAAAGCTGAAGCAAGTGACTGGAAAGTGGGGAAAGGAGAGATTTTTAGTCAGCCTATTTAAAACTTACTTTTAGTTTGTCTTTGTTAGCACTTATTTAACTGCAAAGGACAAGTATTGTGGAGAAAACATGTTTTTGTTAAAAAATCCAACATCCTGCCCTTTCAGCAGAAGATCATCATATAAGAGCTCCAAAATCCCCAAAAGCACCCCCAGAAGAGCAGACTTCTCAAACATGGTATTTCTAAAAAGGGTAAAAAAAAAAAAAAGGCAGCAAACTTAAAAAAAAACAAAAAAACAAAAAAACCAAACCTTTCAGGTCTCCTTTCTAGATCATGAAGAAACAAGAAAGGGCATAAGCCTAAGTTTATTTAAAAAACTCTGTGGGACAGCTTTAAAGATTCAGTAATAAGCCTCATAACATGAACTGCTCTTACGCATGTGCAAGAATTCTGAATGAAGGTTTCCAGTGTAATTTCAAATCACAGGCATGCAAACACCCATTCACTACACAGAGGAAGGGAGGGAGTAGAGTAAGGGGAAGCAGTGGAGAAAAGGGACATGAACACAAGTATCAAAGGAGCAGATAAGCAGATTTTTATTCTGTTTAAATAGGACCAAGAGAGCAGAAACAACTAAAAACTGAAGTTTAATAGGAATACTCTCCTGCTGTACATTTTAACAAGAGGCAGGATAGAAAATGTGAATAGTAAAAGTGACTAGAATATCAATGCACAGTCAGGCTTCAAGGAAAGGCACAGCCTTTAAGAAAAGGAAAGTAACGAGGTAGAGTGTTTGAAATAAAAATGTAAAAAGAGACAAGGCCTGAATTTTAAATCCCAATTTCCTCACTGTTCATAATGGACAGTTCAAGTGACAAATTACCCCTACAGTGAGACAATTTTCATTTCAGTTGTTTACTGAGCTACAAGAGAAAGGAAGAAAAGTACATAACAATACAGACATACCATACCTTCAAATTTGGCATTCACCATGACATACAAATGTTCCCATGGATAGGCATTTAGGTCCCTGGAGACAGCATGTAAACTTATGGTGGGATAGTCCAAGGAGAAACCCAGTCCAGACTTATCTAACCATGACAGGCGACTGGAAAAAAATAAGTCAAAATTAAACAACTCCAAAGAAGTTCTGAGTCACGTGACTCAACCTTACAGATGAAGTTCAACAAATCAAAAACAGTAAAATCTATGCAAGAGATTCTGTAGGCAGCACTCATCCCACTTAGTACTGAACTAAGGCCCAAGAACTATGCTAACAGGTCCTTGTGTTTAAAATGAGACAACTTATGGTCAAAGATACTATAACACTTTTTACAAGAGATGGAGTGTGATTCCAAGTGCTCTAGACAAGTTTCATCTCTGATTAAGACATTCTGATAAATTCCTGCTGCAGTTTCAATTTGAAAACTGCATAATTCATTTTCTGTCCTTAAATTTTAGAATTGATATGTGCTGTTGATATGTTGCACCCCAGAGGTAGCTGCACTGATCCATGAGGATAGTTCAGGGGTAGGCAACCTATGGCACGCATGCCAAAGGCGGCATGTGAGCTCATTTTCAGTGGCACTCACACTGCCCGGGTCCTGGCCTCCGGTCAGGGGGGCTCTGCATTTTAATTTTATTTTAAATGTAGCTTCTTAAACATTTTAAAAACCTTATTTACTTTACATACAATAGTTTAGTTATATATTACAGACTTATAGAAAGAGACCTTCTAAAAACATTAAAATGTATTACTAGCACGCAAAACCTTAAATTAGAGTGAATAAATGAAGACTCGGCACACCACTTCTGAAAGGTTGCCGACCCCGGTATAGTTTATACCTCAGTTTGTAAAGTGCTTTGTGATCTTTCAAAACAAAGAGATCATCACAAAATAAGATCTTCCTGAAGTTGTGGTGATAACAAATGCAACATTAATACAGCTTACATCAGTGAGTCTAAATAAGTTTCTATGGGACACCAGGAAGAAACAGGATTTGATGAGGTGAGGAATCACTTTCCTAATTATGATCAGCAAGCTGTTTCTTTCCTCAGTTTTAAGTGTTGATAGCTGTAAATGTACTGAGTGTGTACTTGGATCCAAAGCCTCATTGTATTCAGCAGCGCCTGGTTCTCCCACACTGTGGAACTCGAATAATGTAATCAGAGTGCATACTGGCTCATTCTATTCATTGCTCATAAATGGCTCTTGTAGAAGCCTTCCAACACACTATATGAGGAAGCAGGGAGAAATATTTGTATAAGCCTCAGACAAAAGTCTATTGAAAGCATAGTAAAGGGCGCAACTCAGCATTATACATGTTGACAGCACACGTCTTTGGCCTAGTCTACACTTAAAACTTAGCTTGGCCTAGCTACATTGCTCAGGACAGAGTTACGGCAGTACTATTACCTGGTTTATAACTTGGATTTCAGTACAGATAGCTATTTATTTAAGAAGGGTGTCTCTAAGCTCCCCAGGGCAGTTCTACAGCGCTGGGCATAGTCAGCAGTTAAATGAGGAACAGCAGTGCGTAGAAATGCAGAGGACCATCTCTCTCTGGACAAGAGCCCAGGAAGACCTGCCCGGCCTGATGGAGAGAGAACATCCTGTGATAGCCTAGAGATGGGGGGACCGGGTGCAGACAGCCAGGCTGGAAGAGCTGCTCCACACTGCGCCTAGGCTACAGGCAAAAGGCTCTCAGCCAGCAGTGGGCTTCAGGCACACAGGGAGCATCCCCAGAGCAGCCCTGGGCATCAGTGGGATTCCCACCACAGCCTCCATGCCAAACAAACTACTGCAGACATCTACTGCTCAGATAAACACCCAGACAGGGGAGAGCACTGAGCTCCGACTGTAGAAGTCGGAGAACGGAGCAGCCCCACTGCACAAGGGCCTGTTCCCGCCAACCCACCTGCCAGCCAGGTCTCCTCGCCAGGGCCTGCTCCCCACTCCCCTCCCAGGTCTCCTCACCAGCTCCTGCTCCCCCCCCCACCCCTTCCCGCCTGACAGGTCTCCCCGCCAGAGCCTACTCCCCCCACCCCACCCTAGGGCATCCTCACCCTCTACCCGGATCCCCCCACGAGGGCCGGATCCCCCCTACGCTCCCCCCGCCAGGGCCTATCGCTCCTCCCCCCGCCAGCCGGACGCTGCTCCTCGCTTGCCCCTCCCCCAGCGCCTGCCCGGGCCGGGCCGCACCTCTCGGCGATGTACAGCGTCCCGGTGCCCAGCCCGCGACCTCCCAGCACCGCCTCAGTGTCGGGCTGCTGCTGCCGGAGCCCCTCGGCCGGCGGCGGGAACCGCTTCAGGAAGCTCATGGCAACCGTCTCCCTCCACCCGCCGCTCCGAGCCTAGCCGCCGGAAGCGGAAACGCCACTCTAGCCATCGATATGGCGAGGAACGAGCCGCTCTAGGCACCGCTCTATGGTGAGGAGGCGGAGTGCTCGTCCCTGAGGCCGGCACAGCGGCCGCGGCGAAGCCCCTCCCCTTTACGCTCTGCAATGGGCAACGCGTGTTCCAGTGCCCCCACCCCGTATGTGTCACGTGACCTGCTGTGTTATTGTAGGGTCTCCTGCCAGGAGATTTTGGGCACTCCCCTGTTGGGGTGGCTTGGTCCAGACTTGCACATGGTACTATGGGTGTGAGGTCACACCAGGACATGGGTCACTCCTCGCTCACTCCAGTGCCGACAGCAGGGGAACGGCCAGGAACGCGTGAGGGCCCAGGCCCCACCAGGAGTGGAGGGTCGTGGCGAAAGGCTGCATCTCCACAGCAGTTGCCAGTGCTGAGCACGCAGGAACTAGGGCACGAGTGTGAAGACACATAAACCCTACAGGAGGGAGGCCAAGTCTACACACAAAAATAAGGTGGTTTAACTACATTGCTCAGGGGTGTGAAAAATCCACACGAGTGATATAGTTAAGACAACCTAACCCCCCTACTGTGAACAGGGTTAAGTCAACAGAAGAATGTCTGTGCTAATTTAACTATCAGCTCTTGGGGAGGTGGATTACCTAAACCAACAGCAGAAACCTCCCCCTCTCCCCAGCAGTTGTGTCTACATGGAAGCACTAGAATGGCACAGCTATGCTCGTGTAGTGTTTCAAGTGTACACATGTCCTGACTCACTGAAGGTGGAAAACAAGTAATGTTGAAGAGGGGAGTCTATTCTATGCGATACCATGGGTGTCACAGCCCTGCACATCTGCTGCTGCCATCACCAGCTACTTAACTGCACCCACCCCCCAGAAAGCATAGGTGCTGACTGTGGGTGCTTTGGGGCTGGAGCACCCAGGGGGAAAAAAGTGGATGCTCAGCACCTACTGCCAGCCCCATGGATCAGCTCCTCCCCAGTGCCTCCTGCCTGCCAGGGGCTGCACAGATAAGCTCCTCCCCCTCTCTCCCAGCACCTCCCACAGCTGTTCAGCAGCATACAGGAGGTGCTGAGGGGATGGGGGGGGGCAGGAGCTGGGGCAGGAAAAGGGGGGGTGGGGGTAGGAACTTGGGGGGAAGGGGTGGAGTGTGGGCAGGGCCTGGGGTGGAGCAGGGGTCCAGTCCCTTGGGGGAAATCCTACAGTCAGCGCCTCTGCTAGGAACCCACTCACCAAGGCAGTAGCACCACCAGTCATTAGGTCTCTTGCCATAGGGTGAACCCCAGGCTGGCGGTTACCCATATAATCCCCACCCCATAACAATACCCAACCCTTTGCTACACTGCAATGCCCACACCTATGGTACCTGCCCACCCAGACTGGGCACATACCCCATAGCAGTATTCCAACTGCAACATCCATATGGACGCTTGCCTGTTACCTCCCAACCCCTCCAGGAAACCACCCAATATGACAGATGCAAGAGAAATGCATGTTATAGACTTCTACGAAACACAGCGATGAAGGAATGAGAAAGCTGGGCCCCTAGGGCCTGATTTTATTTCTACAAAATACAAATAATTGGTATTGTCTTACATAGGAATTACTCTTATTCTATGGCAGAAAAATAGGATCCCACATGACAATTAACACTCTTAGCTCTGAACATAAAATAGCACAGGACCTTTAATAACCTGTTCGACCCAAAGACACCCAGTCCTTCAGAACAGAGGTGGAAAAAATCATTGTGGAAATTTATTCGTTCAGGTGCAAAGAGCCACTATGGTGGTGATGACGGAACTTACGAGATTTCATGCACACACCAGAAAAAGCAGAGTTTTACAATGCAGCTTTGGAGTTGCCTCTGTTTAGGTAGAGGGCTCAGTGCTGCTCCCAAGTTAGCCACTAGTTTCAGGTACACTAGATACAGCAGCGGTTGGCACATTTTTCTGTTTGAGCCTTCCACACTCTGCAGTTGATCAGGAAATGAGTACCTACAACCCATCCAGCAGCAATTGCTCTCTCACCTGTGTTCTTTTGTCCCTTTTAACTCTCTCTCCTTTCCTATCTGCAAGAAATTTTATCCCTCTTTATTTCCATCCTGCTGGCTGGTGCCTCCCAGTGCCTGTGACCACACCCACCGGAAGCACACAAGATGCTCTTCCTACTTCCAGGTCAGGCAGTGGGTAGAAGACTCTGTTGGCAACTTTCTAAGTATAGGCCACATCCACATGCTCTCATGACCTATAAAGTGAATGCTGGTGGCTGAGACTGCATTGTGCACCAGGGCACTTGCTACAGGAGCAGAGGGAGAAGGTGAACATTTCCATGGAGGTACTTGCCCCACCCGTATCACACACCCTACCTTTCTACAGAGACAGGGGGGGCTGTCCTAGGCATACAGCAATTGCAGAAGCGGCTGGCTTCTTTACCCTCCATAAAACAGGATGGGGGGGGGGGGAGAGAGAGAGAGAGAGAGAGATGGGGAAGAGAGCAATAGGTAATGACATCATGTTCCATATTTGATTCCAGAGGTTTTTTGCACTACTCGGATTTGTGCCTCATTAACCACTGGGCCAGGTTATTTTCCAATGCACAGTCAGTGATCTTCCATCAAGTATATACAATTCTTTAATAAATAAAATAAGGGGGGATTTCACCCAGAAAAATCTGTTTTCTTGCTTTTGGGTTTTGAGTCCTGACCAAATGGTGGCCTGACTTCGAAACACACCTCCAGTCTGTGTTTCAGAAAGCCTGTGTCTTTACCAGTTTCTTTTTTAAAACATTGTCATCATCTAGAAAACAAAAAGCAAACAGAAGTGTTACAGTAAGCACCAGTTCAGATACAAGAGATGAACCTACTCGACTCAATACACCTTAGTGACAATACGGAGAGACTGATGGAGGACACTAGTTAAGGCATGGAGACCTCAGCATGAAAGGTGGCAAAGATAAGAGGGGAAAAAAGAATAAAGTAGCTCTTCTGGGATCATCGCAGCATGTAAACTGAATTATTAGCTAGATAGGCAGAAGTCCAGGCTTCATCCCACCTTGAAAGCTAAAGGTAGGAAGTCATATATACACCTTACTAAATATTATCTATTTAACTTACCTGTTGATAACTGTGTGGGTACTTCTTGAGAGATGAGTTTGGAGGCCTGGAACCAGATTCTGCTGGGAAGGTAACTACATCACAAGCCTCTACTACTTAGCCCACTTGTTGGTGGTCTCAGGACTGAGGTTAGTGACTCCATGGCTCTGAAGACTGGACTACCCTCTCAGATCTAGGCCCTGTCTATACTGGGTTTGTTTGGACCCCTTTAACTATACCACGGCAAGTCCCCAGTGTAGACATGCCCTGTACTGGTTTAAAGTGGGGGGCTTGCACCAGTACAGGTCACTTACTAAATCAAGTCTCACCAAGAAAATGTGTCTGCATTAGGGGTTTGCACCAGTATAATGACATCATTGGGGCTACACTAGTGCAAATTTCTTGTCTTCTTGAGGTGCCCCCTCCACATTGCACAAGACACATCCACCACAAATCATGAACTAGAGGTTATGAAACCATTTCAATTTGACCCACTGCCCAGCTTCTTAATATACAGACCATCCGTAGGATTTCCCACTGCTTCTGGAGCAAAATGGAAATCCTGCATCGGATTCAGTAGAATTTTTTAAATGGAGGGTTTTTATTGAGTACAAAATTTAAACCAAATAATAGTACAGTGACTTGTGTTAAATTTAAGTTTACACTCCTTCCATACACACTTATTTTCATTGTGCCACAGATTTCTGTGCTGACCACGAATAACTACCTTGCAGAAGATGGTATGGGGGTGGAAGGTGGGGAGGGTTAGAGTTTGGATAGGAACTGGAAGGGTAGGTGGTTTGGGTGTGGTAACTATTAAGGGCTTTTAGCACTTGGGAGGGGGAAAAATCTACAGTCTCTTTCCCTGTAACAGCCAGCTGACCCATGTTCCAGCATTTGCCGCTGGATCTAACAATAAGCATATTAATTGGTTCCTGCTAAAATAATCAGTGAAAGCCAATACTGAAATTTCCAGTCATCATTATTAATCTTCAGTGTTACAACACTACTGAGAGAAATGGGAAGTTCATACCCTTCAGAGAAGTCATTTTGGGTTGTCTACAGATTCAGTAAGGAAAACACATTGCAGCAATTTTACACAGTTCATAGTTGGAAGCTTTTCTTCCCAGCCACAAGGGCTAGAAACAAAGTTTGTTTTAAATGCTCTTGTCTTATACTTAGATTTTAAGATCTGGGGGGCAGGGGCCATCATTTTGGTCTGTGTTTGTACAGCACCTAGTACACTAGGGTCCGGGCCCATGACTGAGGCTCCTAGATACTAACACAATACAAATACATAATAAATAACAATAAATCCAAGCATGGAGCCTGGCACAATTCTGCAGCAAGTAAATTTCACTGTATCTCAAGAAAAATAAGGGCCTTGATTAAAAATATACCGAGAGAAGAAGGAAATAGGTTATGAGAGACTTCACAGAGGTTAGCATTGAGAGCCATCAAACTGATCTCCAATTTAGCTCCTGCTTTCTTCTGTACTTTCTGGGGCTGTTTCCTGGTTGCCCACTAAAAACTCCTTTTCTTAATGTTATGATTATCCATTGCCATAAGCACCTATCAGACCAGCTATCACAAGCTGTAAATACATTTCTCTTTCGATTTGTCACAGTTAGTGGTTCTAATATTCTCTGCAGGACTTGACTCAGCCCAGATGCACCTCTTGTCATGTATGAATAAGTGAACAAAGAAGCAGAGCTCTTGGAGTCCCATCTGAAAGCTTCAGAGCCTTGTGCCTGGAATTGTCTGGCTTGGCTATCATATTGCTGGTTGTAAGTTATGGCTAAAAAGCAGTGATCCATGCCAGGAGATGCTGACGACACTTGGAAAACCTTGTCTATACAAACAAAGTTCATGGCTGTAATTCATCACTGGTACAGCTCCACCAGTAACAGAAATGGTGGGA